TATATATTCTACAAAAAAAAAAAGGGAAAAAAATTTTATCATAGAAATATATTTTTTTTGGTCTTTTAAGGTTTTCTTTTTTCTTTTCAAGTTTTAGAAAAAAATTAATATAATATGACTGATCCAAATAACAAGATATATCATCCTCATGATCCTCACCATCCTCAACAACAACATCCTCAACAACAACAACACTTACCTTCTAACGATCCTCAACAACATAATCAATATCAGTATCACCAACAACACGAAGAAGAAGCGGAGGAAGAAGGGCAACTACGTCATCTTCATCATCATCAACAGCATCAACATTTATCTTTACATCCTAGAGAATTAATACAGCATAAGATTGGAGGTGAAGAGGGTGTTGATATTGTTCCATCATCATCGCCACATATTTTACTCGATCAATCATCCTCATCATCATCGCAAGTTAACCTTGCCTCAACTGCACAATTACTGCACTCTTCACACCCTCATCACCACATTTATCAACAGCAGCAAGATCAACAACAGCAAGAACAAAATAGCATAATTGATAACTTCTGGCAACTACAAGTAAATGAGATTAGAAACGGTGCTCATGATTTTAAAGTTCATCAATTGCCTCTTGCTAGAATAAAGAAAGTAATGAAAACTGACGAAGATGTAAAGGTAAGAAGGTTTATATTTGTGTATACAAATAGTATTTAATTAAAATTTTTTTTAATTTTATATTAATCGTGAATGGTTACACTGATCAATTTTTGTACGCGTTGGGTTCCATGTACCTTATTTTCATTATAATAATCATACTATTTTATTGTTTTACTTTCTTTTTCTTTTGATTTTAATTGCTTATATAAATCGCCATAAATACTCATATTAATGCCTAGCAATTAATGATCGAGGGGGGTTCTCGGTATAAACCGTGATGGTTGTTTGACTATTATAGATAGTATGGCTTGGATTTTCAACTATTATTTATTTATTCAATGTAAAGAAAATCTAAAATAATTCAAATTTATATTATTAGATAAATTTTTTTTTATACTAATAATATTCTCATCATTATCAATTTTATTTTACGCAAAATTATGCAATGTGTATAATCAAAGAAAATCTGGATCAGCGTAATACTTCTCGCATGGTCAAA